TGTCTCCTCTCGTCCACTTCACGTCCTACGCTACCATCGCATATCCAATCGCGGGCCACAACCCAGACAGTTCGAAATACCGCGACCTTCACGCACTCCCACCATGCCGAAGCCGTGTCTGTGATCCCCACGACCGTCGACACGAGCAATGCGGACTTCAAAGAGAACAAGCGCCAGATGGACGAGGCGACCGAGAACCTGGTCAACCTGCACACAAAGATCGCGCAAGGTGGACCTCAGAAAGCTCGGGACAAGCACATACAGCGAGGCAAGATGTTGGTCAGAGACAGGATATCTGCACTCATTGACCCAGGCACGCCATTCCTCGAACTGAGCCAGATGGCAGGTTACAACATGTACGGAGAAGATGATGTACCTGCAGGCGGTATCGTCACTGGTATCGGCACAGTCAACGGTGTGCAATGCATGGTTGTCGCCAATGACGCTACAGTCAAGGGAGGCACATACTACCCCGTCACAGTGAAGAAGCATCTGCGAGCCCAGACGATCGCTCAAGAGAACCGGTTACCCTGCATCTACCTCGTCGACTCTGGCGGTGCGAACCTGCCCAACCAAGCAGATGTGTTTCCGGATGTCAACCACTTTGGCCGCATCTTCTATAACCAAGCGCGCATGTCGGGCATGGGCATCCCGCAGATCAGTGTTGTCATGGGACCATGTACGGCGGGTGGTGCTTATGTGCCTAGCATGAGCGACGAGAACATAATCGTCGAGAATCAGGGTCATATCTTCCTTGCTGGGCCACCGCTCGTCAAAGCAGCGACTGGCGAGGTGGTCTCAGCGGAAGACTTGGGTGGAGGCAAGCTTCACAGTGAAGTATCTGGTGTAACAGACTATCTCGCAGTTGACGACGCACACGCACTTGTCCTTGCGCGTAGGAGCGTTGGCAACTTGAACTGGCACCGTAACCAGACTGTCACTTCGCAGCCTGCTTTCCAGGGGCCTCTCTACGACCCCCAGGAGCTTTCAGGCATCGTCGGTACCAATCTACGCCGTCAAATCCCCATTCACGAGATTATTGCACGCATCGTCGATGGATCTTCTTTCGACGAGTTCAAGCCATTGTACGGTTCTACTCTAGTGACTGGTTTCGCGAAGATATATGGTCACCCCGTGGGTATCGTAGCCAACAACGGCATTCTCTTCAGCGAAAGCTCGCTCAAGGGCGCGCACTTTGTCCAGCTATGTGGCAAGCGACACATCCCCCTCATCTTCCTCCAGAACATCTCAGGATTCATGGTCGGCCAGGACGCCGAAAAGGGCGGTATCGCAAAGAACGGCGCAAAGCTCGTAACAGCCGTGAGCTGTGTCGACGTACCCAAGTTCACAGTCGTCGTCGGATCCAGTGCTGGCGCTGGAAACTACGGCATGTGGTAAGTCGCCTTCTAGTCCCACCTCGACACAACATCGCTAACACAAGCACAGCGGCCGCGCGTACTCCCCACGCCTTATGTTCACCTGGCCCAACGCAAAGACGTCGGTCATGGGCGCAGAACAGCTCTCGTCGGTCATGGAAGCCGTAGGCAAGAAAGTGGATCCCGCGCTAAAGGCACGGATCGAGCACGAGAGTGAGGCCACGTTCGGGTCGGCAAGGCTATGGGACGATGGTATCATACCGCCGGAGCATACACGGAGGGTGCTTGGCATGGGCCTGCAAATGGCGTGCGGTGGGCAGAACAAGGGCGTCGAGAAGGAGAGCACTTGGGGTGTGTTTAGGATGTAGATGAAAAGGCTTCGTAAGAGCACGCGCACGATACGCGCGTCTCCCTGTTGCTGCTTAAAAGCATGATATTCGCGACCTTGACCAAGAATCTTTGGTGTTCCATTTTTTTCTTGCCTGCTTGCTTGCCTTGCTTGCCTTAGGGCCTGGCCTAACTTCCTGTGTACTAAGAATAGGGTCCATGACCGCCAATTTCCGGCATCCCCACACATTTTGCACGGGAAGTGGCTTGGCAGAGGTCTTGGCAGAGAGCCGTCAAGACAGCTGGGCAGGCGGGTTCGGCCTCAAGCACGCCTGTAAGCTTGCTTGGAAACGCTTGTGTGAGACGAACGTCAACGTAGTGTGGAGATCAGGTTCACCAAGCAGTGTAGTAGATCGGGAGTTCACCCACGTGAGAAACGAAACGAAACGGAACAAAACAAACGGTGAAGTCAGGCCAAACAGCGCAAAGTCAGGCGCCTGCGCCACAAACATTCCCTGCAGGTGGGGCGCAGGCATGCGGAATCCGTTCAAGAGGTCCCAGAGTTTCAACGCGGATACCGGGCCTGCTGCTGCGTTGCGCAAGATACACAGAGGCAGCACCAACAGGGGAAAAGCATTCACTGTTTGGATTCCGCTTGTGGTGTTCGTGGTGGTGTGGCGCTGTTCGTACCGGCGCTTGCGCTGTGAATTACCAGTTGACCTGCCTTTGCTCGGCTTAGAGGGAACGCCAGCTGCATGATGATTAGATGCGGGCGGCGAATACGACCATGGGATTGCCAGGGTAGCCTATGGGGGCACAGGCCCGTGTTAATCCATCAAAGTTACCTTTCCAGTGCCGCCATTCCGCTGCCCGCTATTGCCTCGACGATCGCTCCCGCCTCTCTTTGTCACGTCCGTCATCAAACGCTGGACGCCTGTTTACCACTACCACCTGCACTCACACTCGCTTTTCTGTCGCCGTTCCTCCGCTGCCACAACCTTCTCCGGTACCTGCCTCCTACTCCCCGGTCAACCTCACCACGCTGCTTGTTTGCTTGATCTTGCTTGATCTCGCTTTCTCGCTTCCTCCCCACTTGGTCTCACGCACTTGCGGGGTAGCCATTCGTTAGCATTGTTTTAGGCGCAAAGCACATGTCGAGATGAGGTTGTTCAGCCCTGCGCGAGCGCTAGCGGCGCTCTCTCTGCTGTCGACAGATGTTGTGCGACCCTTCACCCAGGCCATCGTGCTCGACCCCAATTCAGAGAGTAGGAACCCCGTCGCCGTCGCATACATGCTGTGCGCTTATACAGTCTGCTAACCTCACCTTACAGCCTCTATCAACGATGTCTCCTCCCAGGTCGCCAAACAGCTCGTCGCGCAATATGCGACTATCGACGATAAGGGCATCCATGTACTCGGTGGTTACCCGGGTATCCTCTACGAACCCTACTACTGGTGGCAGGCGGGCGCCATGTTCGGTACCCTCCTCGACTACTGGCACTACACCGGCGACGATCAGTACAATGAGATGGTTCGCGAGGGACTGATACACCAATTTGGTGAGCATCAAGACCTGGTATGTATCTATATGCGCTATCGCAAGGTCTGTCGCTAAGCTTTGTAGATGCCCTCCAACCAGTCCAAGAACGAAGGAAACGATGATCAAGTTTTCTGGGCCTTCTCCATGATCGCCGCCGCCGAATACAAACTCAAAGACCCTCCCGCGGATCAGCCCGGTTGGCTCGCCATGACACAGTCCGTCTTCAACCAATTCGTCGGCCGCTACCAGAAGGAGGTGTCCGATGGCACTTGCGGCGGAGGCATGCGCTGGCAGATCTATCCGTGGCTTAATGGGTGGACGTATAAAAACACCGCATCCAACGGAGGACTTTTCCATCTCGGCGCGCGATTGGCCATGTACACAAAGAACGACACATATGCCAAGTGGGCGGAGAAGGCATTCGACTGGATGGCGAATAGTCCTATCTTGCCTGGCGACGGCCAAGTCTACGACGGAACCAGTATCAGCACGAACCCTCCATGCAGCGACGCCGACCAAACGCCCTGGACCTACAACTACGGAATCATGATTGCAGGAGCAGCATACGTAAGACAAATGTTACTACACCACAGATTCGATTACTAACCCTGTTCGCAGATGTACAACTACACCAATGGCGCTGACAAGTGGCGCAACGAACTCACCAAATTCATCAACAAAGTCGCCATCTTCTTCCCCGAAGACAAAGGCGGCGTCATGGTCGAGATCTGTGAAGCAAACATAGTTTGCGACGCGGACCAGGAATCCTTCAAAGCGTACCTCGCCCGCTGGCTCGGCATCACCATGCAAATGGCTCCCGAATTCACGCCCCAGATCATGCCCAAGCTGCAAAAGTCCGCCGTTGCCGCTGCGCAAACGTGCGAGGGTCCGTCTGACCACGGCGGCGGAAACCACCAGTGCGGTATGAGTTGGTGGAAGCAAGGCTGGGACAACATCAAGGGCGTCGGACCGCAGATGACAGCCCTCAACGTCATCAGTGTGTTGAACGCGCAGAGGGTGCCGCCGCCGTACTCACGCGATACCGGTGGTACTTCTGAAGGCAACCCCGGGTTGGGCTCTGGAAACGACGCCGACCGGTTACCCAAGTTCCAATCCGAAATTACCACTGGGGATAAAGCGGGCGCGGCCATCCTCACGATCCTCATCTTCGCTTTGTTCGTCGGTGGGTCCGTCTGGATATTGATGTAATGAGGAAGAGATGGAGGAGGCATCAAAGATGATGGTGGTGGTGCTTTTTGGTTAATACCCCCATTGTTTGGATGCATCCTGGAATGCAAGTATGATGGGATGACAACTGAGCTTCTTCATATGAGGAAGGCTTCTTCATGGCGTTAATTATCCAGGGCGAATGGATCGGATCGGATGGGCTGGGATGGGTTGGGAGATTCGTGTGTATATTTGCTATCTGATGAAATGAAATATGAATGAGTATATTTACCATGTATGAAGATTGCTTTATGAGAGGCGGTTTAGATCTCGCAGATGTTGAGTATGTGAGATGAGGCTACGACGCTATGAAACTTCGTGACCGCCTCAGTCGTAGGTTTGATATAGGTAAGATATCTCGTGAACATCTCCCAGTGCGTTACTCATGTGCGATGTCTTTCTATCGTCGCGGTTCTACATAATGCTAGAACATCGCATGACTGCCAGTTGTTTGTCGCGCACATGATATATCTAGTCGTAAAACCATGTAATTCAATACGCGACAGAGCACATAGATCAACGCCTACTCAATGCCTCTAAACGCCGAGACTCCTGATGGCGAAGAGACCGCCGGCCAGCGAAAGGACCATTTCGAAGGTAAGATAGCGATCCAGCCACTATAGCCCCCATACAACTAACCCGACCCGTGCACGTAGCCATGCGAAGCCGCGTCCCACGCTACCTATTCCGCGCCTTCGACGGATCCAGCGGCGGCGGCAGCTCGTGTTCCGTCATCAACGCAACCGAGATCATACCCCGAGGCTTCATGAACGGCAGGCAAGTCACTGGGTTCTACAAAAAACAGGAGAAAGAACTGCATGCCATGGTGCAAGCCCACTTCTCCGCCGACGAAGACGTTCTGACTGGGTTTAGCTCGTGGGCTGCTTCTCTTCACACAGTTCTTTGCTATGCGTATACTTGTTCTCTGGAGTATGAAGATGTTCACGTTGCTGTGCTCGATCGCGAGAGGCTGGATGGTGAGGTAAGAATCTGGTGGGTGCCGGATCTTTTAGATCCGGGTGAGTATCATGGTGAGCATGAGTATTTGGCGCATGGATGTATCCGGGGGCCGGGGTATACAGCGGTGCCTTTTGAGGACCTGATGGTTGGTGAACTCGGCACTGCTATCTTTCCTGAACTCACAGAATGGAAGGATGGGGATCTCAACTTCGGCGATGATCTGAGAGATAAGATGTTTCAGGAAGTGTTGGTCGGATACTATAACTATCAGACTGAACGTATCAGGCGCATAGGCAAGTTGTTTGGAGGCCTCGCTTTGCCGGTCATGCTCGCGTTGCTGACGCTGAGGCCGCGATACCTTGCTGAAGTTTATGTGCCTGTTAATGATGCGCCAATGGCGCGAGAGGATTTTGTGGACTGGCTGATCACATCGCTGGACATTCAAGCCCTTGATTACGATCCCGAAGAAGAACTCTGGTGTCGGCCAGGGGTAGTTTACACACGCGAAGAAGGCAATTGGAAGGCTTATCCGGATGTTGAACAGTGGATCAAACTGCTTCGTATGATTGGTGAGCGGCTGTCTCAACGAAGCGCAGAAGAGAAGATGGGGGGTGGGGTGGATGGTGAAGAGGAAAGCGGTAGTGACGATAGAGAAATGCAAGACCTGAACGATGAAGATTCGGGCGAAGAGATGTTAAGCGATGAAGAGCTGGGCGATGAAGATCTTGGCGAAGATCAGTTGAACGATGAATCGGATGAAGAGGATTGAAAGAAGATGCGCAAATGAATCGAAAATGGTGCGCGAATGTGTCCCGTTGGAACATGTTGTGCAGGTGCGGTTGATGCTGGGAGGCACTGGGCGTCACTTCCAACATGGAGAAGCGCTACTCCGGCTTCGGCTACCTCAGGAGAGCGTCGCTGCCCAGGTGCTTCCCCCAAACACCGCCACCTTCCAGGCTGCCATTGTCACTCACATTCACTCGCCACGACCCAAGCTGCAAGCAAACGTCAATTATCAAATCGCGCATCATGTGCTAATGCAAAGAACGCCTTACCAGCCAACTCTCTGTTTGTGGCTGAGCAAAGATGTAACATTCTGCGATAGGCAGGAGCGCGCAGCCCAGCCGCAGTCCGCCCCAACACTCACCACCTTCGAAGAAGTCGTTTTTCACCCATCCGCTTGGTGGATGTCGAGGCTCTGCATTGCGCCGTGCGGATACGCAACACGACGCCGGTCAATGCTATCGTGAGATGATGAGTTTTCATAAGGAACGAGTGCCGTCAAAGAAGCATCAGCCCTCAACTTCACTTTCAACTTCGTGAACGCTAATCAACTATTTGGAACAGACGGCACACAGCATGCAAAGTCCTTCCGATACATTTAGACAGCCATGATCAGAACGCAAGAAGGCAGAAAGAATGGCGTCAAGCGAGCGGTCTTTCAGCTCGACTTGACCCTCGGCAGAATATACCGTACTGTTTATGGGGTATGTGACCTCACCGCAAGGCTCAACACTGTCTTTGAAGGGTTATAATTGGCTTATTCTTCGAATCACATCAACTTTGCTACCTTCCGGCCGGTAGTTCTACGAGCGAGCGTGCCTGACCTTGGCAGGCACAGCCCCACCTGCTCCCATCGCATCGCATCTTCTAACGTCTAGACTTGAATGACAGGGCTGCCGAGCACATCCAGGATGCAGGCGGCCTCTCATATGTGAGTTGAGCCACAGCCTCAAGCGCCCAAAAATGCTGCTACGCCGCAACGGCCCTACACCGCCATATTATACATTTCGTCACCTGGTAATCTATCGCATCCCGCCTATTTGTCGTTGAACATGCTCGTCTTCACCCTCACTATCAAGTGTCAATGACATACTTGCGATACCATATTGCGAAGACTATTTCCGGGAACAGAACTTTTGGGCCCCAGCTTACCGATTACTAGCCTACAGCGAGCGTTCAAGCAAGGGTACTTGATCCTTCTACGCAATCGCTCGTCCGTCGGCCGTTCCCGATACCGATATTGAGAAGTGATGCGGCCCGAGGCTTAGCTTAGGGGGCCAGTCGCTCCCGTCTATTCGATATGTGCTGCGACCTTACGAAAAGCAACTATCCGTCGCAGGCCATTGAAGTCCGCATGTGGATGTTCTTAATGTACCAATGATTTCCACCACTACACACCCAACCCTTCTCTAGTGCTTTGCATGCACAGATCAGGGGTTTTCTATGGGCGCCACCACTTGAACGCGTGGCGCTGTGGGCGGAACCTCTGTTCCTGCAGATATGAAATATGACTCTTACTCAGGTATTTAATTCTCGGCGCATCGTCCCTCTTTTGGGTTCTTCCACTGTCTTCGACTTTTCGAGATGACACCCAAGAAACAACCACCCCGCTCTCCACAGAAACGATCAAGATCCGAGGCTCGGCATGAGAACATTGATCGTTCGCGAAAGGTTACTCGCCGCTCGACAGCTTCCGCCCGCACGAATACCATCCCTCGATCTCCGCCTCATACCCCACCACACGTTGGACGAGGGCAGGCTTCGATCCGACACTCTTCAACATTACCAACATACAGCACTCCGACTGATCCGGAAGCCCAATTCGATGATACGCCGAACACACCTCAATCTCTCGTGAGACGCGCACTTCAAGCGAACGTTCCTACGATTGAACGCGGAATCGCTCGTCCGGTACCACCCATTGCTCTTTCCAAACAGGCATGGGCGCAACGATATGCCGTTAAGATCAATAGGCATAGCTTCAATACGACCACGAGTAGCCCATCCGCCTCGTCAAAAGGAACGAAATGGGCAGAAGTGTTGGGTCAGGTGAGCAGGATGTACCATTACAAACGCATCCCTGAAGACGAGGTCCGTCTCCTGATCATCAAGCCGGGCTCTTTCGACGAGCAGGTCAACGCTACGTTACTGGTCGTGAACGATGAGCAGCTCGGAACTGAAGACTATCCCTACTGTGCCCTCTCATACAACTGGGGCAATAGCGCAGACGACAGTACCATTGTCATCCAGGACGACCCAGCCTCATCTCCCGTCAAATCTATCACAAAAGCAGTTGATGTACTCAAAGCGGCTGTGCAAGACAAGATGATCAAGATCAAGCCGAATCTCTACGAAGCTCTCAGACATTTGCGGAAAGACAACGAGCCTATCGCGCTTTGGGTGGACGCATTGTGCATCAATCAATCCGACACCAAAGAAAAAGAAGAACAAGTGCTAAAGATGGCGCACATCTACCGCAAAGCCTACAACGTCAACGTATGGCTTGGTTCCGACAATGCCGATGATCTCGTCTCCAACAGAGCCATGGCTTTTATCCCCGTGGTTGTCAATCCGGATAATTACTCGGCTCTTCTCGCTGGCGATACGTATATTGAAGACTGGGCAAGCCTGTACGAACTTCTCAAGTGGAGCTGGTAAGAGTATGTCAATGCAGACTTGTTCCCCCGCTTATTCTTCCTAGGTTCTCCCGACGCTGGGTCATACAGGAGCTGGCATTTGCGCAATCCGCTTCAGTTCATTGTGGCAAGCATGTGCGAGACTGGAGCGATTTCCAAACCGCCATCGCCATCTTTCACCGACACTTTGAACTTCTGAAAGCGCGACTTATGATGCATTATGAATCGTCTCAGGTCAAGCGAAACCACTTGAATGATGACTCAACCCTAGAGATCGAGCACCTGGGTGCCAAGCTGTTGGTAGACATGACATCCACGTTATTCCGAAAGCGACCCGACGGCACCCTGGAATCTACGAAAGGATTGGAGAGCTTGGTATGCTCTTTGTCAGGTTTTGACACGTCCGATCCACGCGACACCATCAATGCCTTCAGGAGTATTTCTAAAGAGGTTACCAGATACGACCCACGTTCCATAGGACCGCTAAAGCCACCGCCTGCCCCGAATTACAGCAAAGACCTCTTTGAGATATACCGGGACTTCGTCAAATGGGTTGTAGACACCACGGGATCCATCGACATAATCTGCCGCCATTGGGCATTGAAAGAACGACAAGAGCGAACGCCGACAACTCCTCGACTAGTTCCACTACCTTCCTGGATCTTGTTCGTCGAAGACTCAGCTTGGGGAAAGGGCGAAGATCTATTTCGCGGCCGGAAGGCTGGCGACAGCTTTGTCGGGCTACCCGGTAGTAACAACTACAACGCCTGCGGCAGGCAAGGCAAGCAAGCCCAGGTCAAGTTCCCTCGAAGTCCTGTCCATCGCGCCTCCGCCATACCAGCCCAGGTCACGCACGACATGTCGATGCATGTGAAGGGTGTTATGATAGGTACAGTGTCTTTCCGTACTGATCCATTCCCCGATGGTGTCATCACCAAAGACTGCTTGGAAGGCCTAGGCTGGGTTTTCGACAAGAATGCGACCGAGATCAACCAGGTTCCGGCCAAGCTATGGCAAACTCTTGTCGCGGACCGCGATCCACAGGGCAACCCACCCCCTCATTGGTACAAAGCAGCATGTGAACATTGCCTCTCTTTCCAAACGAATAATGGCCACATCAACATCAACACCATATTACAGCACCGTCGAAACCTCCAAAGTGGATTTCGTGACATAGTGTACGACTACCTTTGTCGCGTCCGTGCTGTCACCTGGAACCGATCCTTCCTCAGAGGCGACCCCATTTGTAGTGCCACCACCAACAGTTGCGACTTCGACCATGACGAACTCGTTGGCTTTGGCCCACCCAGGACCGAGAAGGGGGATGTGATTGCTATCTTGTATGGCTGCAGCGTCCCCGTTATCCTCCGACCAACTCAAAATGGCCCTAGTGAGCATCTCGGGTACCTGTTCGTCGGCGAAGCTTACATCTACGGTAAAATGGACGATGAGGCTTTTGGGGTCCATTGCGAAGAAAAGAACTTCAAGCTGCTCTAATGCGACTGTCAGTCATCGACCATACGTCCCCTCTCGACCTCACTTCCTCTTCTTTCGATAAACACCCGAGCCCGGCGCCGGCTGCTAGATTCATCCGCCTTCCTTCTTTTCTCGCTCATTTTCACCTTGTACATGCGCTTGGCCAGTACCCCCTCTTCTTCTTTCCGCGATACACTCACGCTACGACGTCACGACATTATATACCCCGCCCGAGTTTGACCGCTCGGCCCTCTTCTTTCTCCCGATACCCTGGCCTTTGCTATGACATCATGTACACCACCGGTACGATTCGCTACGTTTCCACGGGGACAAAATAGAGTATCTTTCGGATTTCCTTTCTTGTATAGACCATAATATACTACCATTGTACCATCGTCAGCTCTCGATGTCAAACAAATCCCGGGTCTCTTTACTCATATTCAGACAAATAGCTTTTGTGGAGCTTCCTAGCTACCGACTGTCCCAGTCTTGAGTCCATGTCTAATTCGAGCGCGGTGTATACTGGCGCATCTACCCTTGTTCGTCCACGTGACGCTCACTCAGTAGTAGTCGATCATCTCGGTCGGCCGGCCCAGGATAAAGCACTTCATGCTCTTGATATCCCGCTTCGTCCAAACTGAAAGTGTCGATTTACCGCCTTCGCCCCAGCGTACGGCCATGTCGGTATCGCCGAAGAGAGCCTCGCAGTGCGGAGTTCTACAGTTAGCCTTTGTGAGCGTGTGGTCAGACCATAGAGAAGGTAGCAAGGAATGAGCATACCGATACAGTTGACAGCAGCCCATGTGGGTCACGGCACGAACTGAGCTTATCTCTCTGGAGCTGAGGCGCATGTGTTAGCACAAGCTTCATACCTGAAGTCAACATAATCTATACGTACTAATCGCTGCTGATGTGGCGACACTCGTCCACCATAACGTCGAAGTAACGGCAGGCTCCTTTGAAGTTGGCCACGTTACAGACTTGGATCTAGAGGAAAATATGTGAGTACCTGACCCTTGTAGTCCGGACGGAAGCGACGTACGGTCATATGCTTCCAAAAATTGTCGGACGCTTCGCTTGGCAGGGCGGCGGCATCGTAGATGCAAAAGATCAGTAGCACGAGCATGCTGAGCATCATGGCAGTAGCGGGAATGCGCATGGTAGATGGTGGCTCGGATCCTGTGCTTGACGAAATCTCAAAGTGAGTGATGTGGACAAGGATCAAAACAGATTTGGTAGGGGCGGAAGGTGGGACTGCGGCTCTTGACCAGATGAATTCGGGAGGTGCTTTCCGTTTGACATGACTGCCGCTTCGCGCATAGCGACTTCCCTAGACGACCCTCCGCAGTTTCCCCGCGAGCGACGCGTAGTCCTGGAAGGCGGCATGGGTCAAAGCGTCGTGCGCGTAATGAAGTCCGGGAATATAAAATCCACGGCAAACCACTCCGAACGCTATATGACGCCACGCTCAAGAGAAAATACCCTCCCAGCTGCTCTCATGGGAAACATTAACGAACCCTCTGTCGGGTGCCTGATGCCGTCGATACTAAGGCTTCCGCACCTGTAATCCATGTTCGGAAGGTACGGTACGAACTCCGAAACATCGATCTCAGCAACCAACGTATCACGGTCTTCATCTTCGCAGAGATCATCGGCGCGGTGCAGTGCATCCTCTAGCAGGTGATTTAGATAGATTCATTTTTTACAAATACTCCGTGTTGTTACACGAAAACCAGAAAGCTAACAGCTGAAGCCATGCTAATGGCCCACCAGATACCCCCAGCAACCAGATCCTGAAAGCTACGCGAACCACTGGGTACCGGCGAGCCTGGCGACGACTCTACCGAGCATAAATCCCCGTCAGGATTAGTGGTAGCGCTAGCACTCGTGTTGAAGAGCAGCTCAACCCATTGAATGTCAAACCAGGCCTCTTGTCCGGTATCCATACGCCCCGAAAAGGTGCCTCCGTTACTCCAAAGGCTCAAGATGATCATGCTCTCTGCATCTGGTACGTTGACTTCCGTGTCGGCCGATTGCGCACCGTTCATGTACCAGGCGCTTTTCCCAGGTACCCAGTCCAGCCTGTAGTTGTTCCAGTCCGAGGTAGGTTGGTAGTCCTCCATTGACACATTGAAGGTTGCACCATCAATGGGTGCATCAGTGTCGGGGTCGGTAGTGGGCTGGTTGGAGTAGTGCACTTCGTCAGCCTTGGCCCCAGTCGGTATCTCTATGTCGGACTCATTGGTGTCATCGTGGTACGTGAAGAAAGCCGCAACTGCGCCGCTGGCTCCATTGATGCGTGCGGACATGCGGATAGAGGCGTAGGTGACATTGTATTCCGCAAAGTCTAGTTCAGCGGCCACCTGGCTTCCATCGGAGAGTCTTGTCGTGTGCAAGGTAAGATAGGTAGAATCCTGCGACGCATCGCTATTCTTGCCTATGAGTGGTTAGATTTCGGTAGAAGCAACGACAGCTCCAGCTTACTTATCGATACACGAGATGGTTTATAGTACATGTCAACCGTATCATCCCTTGGCGACGGTCTATACCAATCTCTCGCATTCCAGCCCGAAACCCAGGGAGCAGCCTGAATGATCTTGGACTGGCCGCTGGCTGCTTTGGTGTCCGTGTGACCCCCTCCGTAAGACGAGGCAGAAGCCGCATCGCGATCGACGTCATCATGAAGCTGCCTAAAGTCGTAGAAGCGATGGAAGTCGTACGTTGATGCCGTCGAGCCATTGGTGGAGAACCGAGTACATTCTGCAGCGGCCTGAGCGAAGAGAGAAGATGCAGCGAAAATCAAGAAAAGGGCTGAGCTGTAAAACATGACAAACATCGAAGGTAAGCGCTTGGGATCACAGCAGAGGAGATCTGCAGTCGTCACGACATGGTAGTCGGACCAGCTTACACTACATACGTGCAGAGGTTGCCATTTCGTAATCTGGTGATGTGGATGTCACCCGGACAGGCGTGTGAGGGAGACATTGACAGTAAAGGCGTTCAATCTTTTAAATTCGACTTCTGGCGTTCCCTTTAGGGAGCTTCGACGTCAGCGTGCGGTATCGCAGGGCACCTGGGCAGTATCGTTGTTCAGGGCCGGTGCATAACAAGACGACAAGGTAGGAATGAGGCGTGCAGAGTTTTGTGGCTGGGTCGTGGCGCCCACTTGTCGAGTTCTCCTGCGGGTACTAACCACCTTGTCGCTAGGTACCGTTCTTGAAACATGATATTACGTTTCTGCTGTTAAACATCGCTAGTTGCAAAGGCCAGACGCGTCGATGGGACGCGTCTAACCTTCAAAGGCTTCGCGACGCGTCTGGCAATGAAAAAGCCAGCTAGCCTTCATTCGAGCTAGCGCAAACACCGACCACCGGCCATTCTTCCTGCGGTCGTTCACGTCATTACAATCATCACCTCCCGAACGCCAGACAGGCCACAACAGCTTTCTTATACAATATATCGCGAAAAGAGACCCTCGCACTTTCGTAGCAACCTGATTGGCTCGCTTCTCGGCGCTCTCTTACAACCGTCTATCATCGGTCTCGCGCGTTGATGTGCCGACGAATAACCCCGCCGCTACTCCACCAGAGATGTGTCTCGGCAGTCATTCTGAGTCCGAAGGGCTGAAGCTTACTTGCAGTCACAATATCAAGCGGCGGCCTTACCTATCGCACGTTCCAGCTACTACAACTGCAAGATATGCGCATTTTGTCCGTTGTCAGACACACCACCCATCCTGGAATTTGCGCATCACGGGGCTCAAGGCAGCATTGTAGGCATCAATAATGAGCATTCCTGTAAGCGGATCGGATGTTTCTTGCGAGTCCGACCGGTTCGGCGGGCCTGGTCCCCACTTCCCGGTAGATACAAGGCTGTCTAGAAATGGTATTCTTCCCCGCGTCGTCTGCGTACACCGCTGGTATCTTATATATATCGTGCCTGTTCTTGCGGTTCCTCTACAGCGTGACAGAGCCACCGAACAGATAACATGGCTTCAGAACACCAGGCACCGCAGACCTTCACATATCACCATGCCGACCTAGGTCCCATGACAGGCATCGTCACGCCCGACAACGTTGTTCAGTTTCGCGCCGTGCCATACGCCACCATTCCCGCTCGCTTCAAGCAGTCTGTTCTCTCAGATACGCTTGCGGGCAAAAAAGACTTCACGGAACACGGGTATGACTTACCCTGCTGCTTCCCTCGGAAGAGAAGCTAATGCCCTCAGCTATGCATGCCCTCAAGTCTTTAATATTGACGCGGTCGGCGGCGGTAACTTCCCTGGCGAAAAGTTTCCACACTCAACGGACGAGTTGAAATGTGCTATCCTTCAGGTGAATGTACCGCTTTCGTGCCTCAAGCAGCAGCCGCCCTCTTCAAGACTCCCTGTATCGGTCTACATCCATGGGGGAGGCTTCGTGCTCGGAAAGATTGACGAGCAGCACAACACATCTCTCATGGTCGAGCAGTCGATCCTCGATGGCCAACCCATCATCTCCGCGAGCATACAATATCGTTTGGGGGCGCTTGGCTATCTCCATACTCCGGAGGCTGGAAATGCAAATCTCGCACTAAACGATCAACGGAATGCGCTTCTCTGGATCCAAAAGTTCATCGAGGGCTTTGGAGGGGACAAGAAGAAGGTTACTGCGTTCGGAGAGTCCGCTGGCTCCATGTCAATTTGCGCCCACATGCTACGCCAACCTCCGTCTTCGGGTCCTCTGTTCCAGAGAGCGATTCTCATGTCTGGAATCATTGGACCAACGACAGCACCGCTATCACCCGAAAGCGCAAGCGAGACATACAACAGCTTCTTGAAAAGGGTTGGGATTGAAGAAGAAGGCGAGGCAGGTCTGGAGAAATTACGTCAGGTGGACGTACAAAAGATCGTTGAAGAATCCGCCGAGCATCGAGCAGCTGGTAATATGTGGCTTTCGGTTCAAGATTCAGAATGGTTTGGTGATGAAGCGGGCTCTGTGACATGGGACCGCTTCCCTGAGTTGCTTGGCAAATGCGAGTGGGTTAACGAGATCATTCTAGGAACTACAGGCTTTGAGGTGAGTCGATGCTTCTCAATCATACGTCCAAACCGAGAATCTTACTCAGACATACAGGGCGTCACGTTGATGTCAGCAGTTACTGCTGTCAGCCCGGACGCTTTCCTCAAGGGCATCGCGAAGCAGTTAGGCGAGAGAAGCGCGGGCCTCGTTGAACGAGCTTATGGCATCTCGCCGGGAATGGACAAGAATGTGTTCATAACTGCAGGCGCACGTTGGGTAGGCGACGTCGTTTTTGATGGTGAGACATTCCGCATTATGTTGTGTGCATAGCTAATAGTTGTAGCGCCGACTCACTACTTAGCTCAGTATCTCACCCAGCATACGAACAAGAAGGTCTATCGGTACGTATTCGACGTCCGCAATCCTTTTGCTACCAGTCCCTTCTGGCAGCAAGCGCATCATTGGGTCGACGTCTACTACGTGTTCAAAACGTACCAATTCCGCTACCCGTCACAAAGACTCAAGGACATCTCTACCCAACACGCACGAACTTGGAATAGCTTCGCGAATATAGAAACGCCGTGGAAAGAATACAAATATACCGGCAAAGGCGACGAAGTGGTGATGGTGGCAGACGAGAGGGATGGCTGGGTAGAAAGGAGTGTTGAAGAGCACGAGAAAGTGGTGGACAACAGCTGGCGGAGATGTGAAGCGTTGGTTGAGAGCTGGGACAGCATGCGCGGGAAGCATTTCTCGCCTTTCCAAATCGAGCCAATGAAGGCGAATAAGACAGCCTAGATTAGATGATAAGGATATCATCCCACGTCAACCTAGGGAAAAAGTGAACCCCCTGGGGTCTACATCGATGTTAGCACACCCACTTTGCATGTAGTCATGTTAATGTAGTCTGCAGACCTGTTCAGGTTTTCCCTTGTATGAGGTGACCCGGTGCTTCTCCATCATTTCGAGTCATATGGCGCTAGGCTGGATTACACTTAGTGGCTTCTTCTTGCGGCGGAAGACCCTCCGAGTCATCTCTTCTATCATCGTTCCAAGTGCACAAGTATCCGCAAGACTGTTCATGCATCTCATCAATCCCGGCACACCTCAAGATGACTTTCCAACAGTCCTCAACACTGTCTTCGCGGTTCGCCCTTGTTACACCCCGACTCATCATTGTACCTACGCCATTGGCCATCTCGATACCGGCTTATGTCGCTCTTTTCGCGAACCTCCTCGCAGACACGTCATTCTGCGAGATGGGTTTTGGCGATAAATTTCCCGTGGTGAAGCGCACGCAAGAAGAAATGCATAAATCGATCGCGACACGAGACATTGCACAGTGTTGGGAGAAGAGAGGATTGGGCACTTTCGCAGTTGGCGGGCGACCGAAAGAGTGGTCTGACCATGCGAAGGGTCGGTCTTTGAAAGATGCGAGCGAGAAAGTCCGGATCATCGATGGCGATGAGATGGATAATGTGTGCCAAATACTCGGCGCCATCGAATGGCTAGGCTACGCAGGCGTCAGAGATGCAACGACAACCTCTCTTCCTCCACGCGAAGATACAGACGACCCACTACCACCATGGGAAGAGATGGTCGAAATGCTCTACGGTGTTGCGCCGGCGTATTGGGGTCAGGGTGTAGCCCGCGAGGCCGCAGAAGCGGTCATGCAGTGGGCGGCGGCGGAGAAGGGCGTAAGAAGATTCATCGCTGAGACAGAAAAGCCCAATGCGAGGAGTGGAAGAGTTTTGGAGAAAATGGGGTTTAGGAAGAGTAGTACTAATTATTGGAAGAATGAAGATGAATTTGAGTGGGAGAGGGACGCTGCGAGCTTTGCGTAGGTAGGTTTGTGTTGTGTGCGCGCAATCTGGGATGGTAATGAGCGTAGTGCAGCAATATTGCATTTATTGTATCTTTTATGTTGTCTTCAGCTGTTAATGAGCTGTTGCGGGTATCCAAGCTAGTCCGCTGTGACTTGCAAGGTTGCTCTCAGCAATGCCTTTTCACACTTTCTCATGCAAGAAGGACGGCAAAATGCTAAGCTCTTATCGCGCTCCTTTCTGCTTGAGAGACCCCTTCGCTTTCTTCGCCTTGGGCCACCCATCCACCTCTTTCTCATCTGCCTCATCTAGCGACACGACTGTTTCTGATGGCCGGCCGTCGTGACGATCGTTGACAATCACCTGAACTCGCCGCTCTTGCTGAACCAAAAAGCCCATCATCAACCACTTCCCTAAACTGAGAAGGACGTCAAATGTACTCCGAGTATAACAAGTTCTAAGATATATGTCTACGCAGTTAATGCG